GTACGGAACAGGCCGCCTGTACTGAGAGCTTATGAAGAGTACGGAACAGGCCGCCTGTACTGACAGCTTATGAAGAGTACGGAACAGGCCGCCTGTACTGAGAGCTTATGAAGAGTACGGAACAGGCCGCCTGTACTGAGAGCTTATGAAGAGTACGGAACAGGCCGCCTGTACTGACAGCTTATGAAGAGTACGGAACAGGCCGCCTGTACTGACAGCTTATGAAGAGTACGGAACAGGCCACCTGTACTGGCAGCGTTTAAAGAACACGGAACAGACCGAATACAGCACAGGCTGCCTGTACTGACAGCATACAAAGAAAATAGCAAATGCCACCTGTACTGGCAGCGTGTAAAAAACATGGCACAGGCCAAATACAGCACAGGCTGCCTGTACTGACAACATATAAAGAATACAGCACTAGCCCCCTATACTGATAATATATAAAGAATACGGCACAGGCCAGCTGTAGTGATTAGATGCAGGTGCGGACTGGCCATAGGGACTTCTGAGGGCCGTAGTATGACTAACTGGGTTAGGACTCTGTGCCTATGATCAAAAAGCTGCCTGCAATGTGATGTCACTGTGGGGCCCCTGGGAAGGGCCCCTAACCTTGTGTGGTGCCGCCTGAGCATGTGCTACCCTGTCTGTGTGTCTCATGGACAGCAAGGTGGGGTGGGCAACAAGACAATAAAGTATCTTCATCCTGTAGCATAATATTTATTTTATTTGCATTTGCTGTATAATGCTGCACAAATCAAATCAAATCAAATCAAAGTTTGTCACATACACAGTCACATTCAGTATAGTGTGCAGTGAAATGTTTGCTTGCCTGACTGCAAAGACTGTTAACAAGGAACAAAAGTACAAAAAGATGAAGGGGAATGTTAAACATTTAGCATAGACAGTAGACAGCATTTTAGTTACTTTAAAAGAATCCTTAGCCCTGAGCTAGGTTTGATCACTGAAGCTTGCAAGGTGCCTAGCTTAGCTAAAAAAAGAGGGTTATGCTTTTAAAGCCATATACTGTATATTCTAGCAAAGCTGTGCACTTCTTACATGCTTGGAAACCTAAAGTTTCTGTCTCAATCACTGTGTCCGGTTTTCACGGAAGGAATGAAAAGCTGCATGTCTGGATGATATATTTAGGTATCACAGAGCTTCACAGTCGATACAGATGAGGTGAAGTATGTTTTACCAACATTGACAACCACAGCTGATATAGGTGGAACAGTGCTGTATATCCTGGAGTACCTGCCTAGACAGAGAAGATACATTTAAGGTCACACTTGTCAGAGTGGATACAAATGAGATATTCCTTACTATTATTGACAGCCAGAGTGACACAGGTGAGGCTTAGCTGAGTTACCCACTTTGACATGTGGAATCAGGTGAGAAATTTTAAAGGCAGGATGTTTCTGTTACTGTTGACAAGCCAAGATGAGAATCTTGAGGTTTGGACTTAATGTGGGAAATTTCCATTTGTGGATAGCATAATTTTTAAAATTATATTTTTCATTGCGGGGATTCTAGAAGCATGCCTGTACAAATGACTAAAGACTGGAGTATATGTAGGAAAAGCCTGATGTTTCTACTCTGATCTGGTTGAAATAATCACATGAAACCTTGACACAGGGTTCACCATTAAGAACTGAATTAAAACTGAATTATGCATTATTGGTATTCAATTCAGTTAATTGCAGGAGAAAGTCAAGCAACTGAACAGACAGGTGTTGCACCATAATCCTTTATTTGATATGATAATGTGTATTTATTTCTTTAATACCAACAGAGATTCAAAGAACCAATTTATGGCATTAATTAATAATTGTCTTTGATGGTTGTTTGGAAGGAATTAGATAGCAAAGCCCTACTCTCTATTAAAAGTAATAGATAAGTAAATATGAAACCAGTGCAGAATGATGAAATTTAGTGAAATTGCGTGTTTTACAAAAAAAGAATCTTTCACTGACTGAATAATCAAGTTAAAATTGAGTTGAATCAATCAGCTGTATACATGTATGTAGAATTACCAGAATGTTTGTATCAATAATCTTCTTATTGGCAACATTTTAAATGTAAAAGTTTTCTTAATTGATTGTAGTTCAGGCCAGAAGCAGCAATACAGTAGTAACATATAATCTGAAATTTTCTGTAATATTGGATATTTATTGAATTGCTTCAGAAAAATATATGCTACAGTGAATTATTGGTGGGTCCATCTTCTGAGCACTTATCCTGGCTGTAATAATAATAACAATAAAAACAACTATTATGATTATTATTATTATTCATAATTTTAGTCATAATAAAAATAACTAATTTTGTTAACTTTTAATACGTTAGAAAGGGTTTTAAATAAGTAGCGCCAGATGTGTTAGCTTCAGACAAAGTTTTGGGTATGTGTGTGTTGTCTGTATTTTGAGGACTGTTACTGCTCGAACAGACTTTCAGAGAACCTCGCAGATGACCCAGGTAGACCCTGTCAGCTTTCTTCCCTTTGCTCACTAATTGTCTGCTTCACCCTGTCGTTTGGGTGACAAAACGTGTGTCGTGACCTCTGGCTCCCCGAAGGATGGTGGGAGGTGGGAGCAGTGCGGGCTCTTCAGCATGAACTCCCCTCTTCACGGTGGCAGACATTTCAGTCTTGTTACCTTATTAATTAATCTGCCAAGTTCTGGGTGGTGTGTTTGGGGGAAAGAAAAGGTGGCGTAAACACCTCAGGAAGGAATCTTACCTTTTCGCCGTTAGAAACTGCAACAGGAGATGTGTAGATCAATACACCAGAGTTCTAATTAGCACGTCCAATTTCAATCTATGAAAGACGAGCATTTTAAATGGAATGATATGCATTGATATTTTTATACTTATGCTCTAGGGTTATAATGAAGGTAGAATTTAAGCTTCTATTAGTGGTAGAACAAAACTGCATTTTCCAAAACACCCTTATGACAACACAGACTAAATAACTGCTCTTTGCTGAAAGGCTCAGCGGAAATGGGTATTATTTTCAGACGAATTTGCCTGAGACATTTATACTGGTACCTATAGTCAGAGCTATTTTCCATTTTATAAATATAATTAGGGGCGGCATGGTGGCTGAGTGAGTTGCACCTTTTCCTTACACCCCCAGGGCTGAGGGGGGTTAAAATCATGTCTCAGCTTTATGTGGCGCCTGCATATTTTCC